CAGAGGTCGGGTGTGAATTTTCTCTCTTCTTTACCCTGCGGTGGTAAACGGCACCTCTCTTCTAATCTCTCCCCTTAATTCTTGCTACTTTCCCAGAGGGCGGGTATGAATTTTCTCTTGCTCTTCTTTACCCTGCGGTGGTAAACGGCACCTCTCTTCTAATCTCTCCCCTTAATTCTTGCTACTTTCCCTCTTGCTCACTTCTGTTGAGGCCATTAGCTGCCCTTCCATCCCAGAGCATTTGAGACATGTCCTACCAACAGCCTATGGAGTTACTGTTCTCTCTGCTTGAAACACTCTTCCCAGCTATCTCTGTCTCGCTCCCTCACTTTAAAGCCTTTGTTCAAATGTCACCTTATCAGCAAGGTCTTGCCTGACCAAGTAGCACATGCGCACACCTGTCAAGTCTTTCTTGTGCATTGCTTTTTTTTTTTTTTTTTCATTTCACCATCTAATAAGTCATGCTTCCACTGGAAAGTGAGGTGCCTGTCTCCCTTCATAAAAATACCCCTTTATGAAGCGGGCTGGAAGGTAAACCAACCTCTCTCCTCTGTGGGGAGCGACAACAAAAAAGGGCCCAAATGCTCTTTATTTCTTTGAATTCCTGTTCTCATAGCTTCCTTTAATCAGGTTTAACACTCTGGCCTTGTCCACTGAAGCTGGAGGTGAGGGCTTCATAGATAGTGGGCTGACCTTTTCATTTTTACTAAGTCTGCCATGGATGCACCAGGCAACTCTTTTCAGAATATGGGAGTAATTATATTATTCTTAGAGTTGGGACTTCAGCTAAAATACAGAGAGAACAAGAAGAACTTTTGTTCAACATGCTACTAAATAAGAACCTTCCCACAATCTGTTCTTCACTGTCACAAGCAGAACACTTGAATTCATGGTAACCGTTACGATAAGAACAAATGGCTCCATGAGTTTAGGGTGTCCGGTGTTTAAGAACGAGGAACTGAAATATCTGGCTCAGGAGCAATAGACACTGGTGAGAGTCACTGTGGTGACATCTGTGCTTCTGCCTGGTCAGGTTGCTCTCCTGCTCCGTGGGCTAGCACCCCATCACAATGAGCATTCATTGTGAACAGTAACCGAATCAGCCTACAAAGGCATGACCATTTCTGTGACCTTCCCAAGGAAGCAGTAAATCATGAACTCTGTGAGTAGTAGGAAGCATTATTGTAGATTGAACTTGGAAGATGTTTAACTCTTTTTTTTTTTAATTTGCTATAGGGTTCATGCACTCACAAGAGACAGAGACAGAGAGAGGAGGAAAGTGAGAAAGCATCCTAAGGGGGTAAGGTCATGCCATAATCTTTCCTCCTCTATTCTTCTCTCAAGATTTTGGGCAGGCATCCATAACCCTCCGCGTCGTCCCCCCTTATGATTTTCAAGCCATCTGGTTTGGGACTTGAACCACAAGTTTGGCCATGTGGGATCCAGCTGCCTTAACCACTATGCCACCTGGCTGGCACCTGTTTTCTTGGTTTTGAGAGGTTTTTGCTATAGGGTACATGTACTCACCAGAAGGAGACAGAGAGACAGAAAGCAAGAAATCACTCCCATGGGGGATGGCCACTCCACAGTCCCTTCTCCTCCATTCTCCTCTCAGGATCTTGGGCACACATGCACACGTGCCTGGTGTGAGTTTAAGCCACTGGGTCCAGGACTAGAAC